CCCCAAAACCCCAAAACCCCAAAACCCCAAAACCCCAAAGTACAATGTGAAGAAATTTGTAATTTTTAAATTCTAAATAATAATATATAAGAGGCTAAATTAACATCACACTAGCTTTTTTATTTTTACTTTAAATATACTTTAAGAAAGGTAAATCAATCTCTAACGTTCAATTCTGATAAGTATCTTTGCTTTATCATTTCTAATTATTGATTAATTGCACCTAAAAGTTTGATCTTTTTACCCTAGTCAAGTTTGTTTTCTCTCACAAATGATTCTGCGACATATTCTGGATCATCTCCATTGTAAAATACCAATCTGCTTACCTCGCCCTTTCCTAAGTTTACGTCAAGGAATAACAATGGCATTTTCTCAGTAAAGTTATCAAGAACTTGAGAACTGTTTTGTTAACTAAGCATATCTTATTTATTTTGTTAGCTTTACTCTAAGGTCTCAAACCCCTCATTCAAGTTAGAATTTTGTTTTTACTTTACTGATGTCTTAAAATTACTATTCTATTAATTCTAAGGTAATTTCTTGGTATAGTCTTGAATTTTGTAGTCAAACTCATAGAATTAATCTGACTCTCTTTAATTATAAAGGTTTTTATTTGTGTTTAAGCACTCATTTGTATTTTTATTAGTTTACCTCTATCTATTCTCTCTACTTTTAGCTTGATTTTCCTTTCTAAATGGATTATTGTCCTTTAATTGAATGCTTATTTGAGATTTCTGATTAGAATGAATAGAGGATTTTTGCTTTATAGAATAAGAAGACTTCCCTTAAAGTCCATTGCCGCTACCAAGTTAAGAGCTAACTTTGCTAAGCATTCTAGGTGTCATATTCTTGCTTGACTAGATACCGCTTTAGACCTTTGTAGAGGCATTATTTGATTAAATGATGTTTGAAATACCAGAAGTCATTGTTGGGGCTTTTGATATCAACAATGTTTTGCTATTCGATTTTATTAACTTTGGCATAAAAGTGCACTAATCCTTTTGCTTTTCAAATTCAATTTCTGCGGGATCTCTTGGTATGTTTTTTACTATTTTTTCCCTTAGCTACTCAGGGTCTCCATAAAGTTCATCAAACACGCTTCTATCTCTTTGTCTGACTGTATTGTTCGTCTTGGGTTTGAAAGAACATTAAGATATTTCCTCGCATATAAGTTTATTTTCAAGATCTCGTAACTTCTGCTTCTAAATTATGCCTTTCTTTATCAGATAATCTTAGTGGTTGAATGGAATATTCAGCTTCTCTAATTCTTGCTGAAGTTAAGTCAAATGATTTAAAGCAATTTATTAAGACTTTTCATTAATGAATGGTCTGAAGGTACTATTTTCACTTTAGTTGAGATCTCTCTCCAGACTTTTATTTAGATTTGACAATGAAATGTTTCCTCCTATGATACTTGAGTTCTTAATTTTACTTCTGTTTTCCCAGAATGCAAAGAATTTGTTATGAATATATTGCATTTCACTCAAACTTCTTACATAAAACTCTGCTATATCAATATCCATACCATTATAGTCTTCACTTCTATCCTCAATATTGCTCATCCATTGGAGATATATGTTATTCAGACAGTTTATGAATATGATTAAAGATCGCTTTGAGATGTTTCTATTTTCTGATCCTCCAATTTAAGCCCAAGCATCTGTAAGAATCTTCTCTTTAAGACTCATTTCATTATTAGCGTAGCCAAGATACTTTAAGATGTCTACAAACTTATCGAAATCTATTGAAATGACTTGAAGACACTCAAGATCACTAAAAGCTTTTTCGATTTACTTGAGTATACGTCCAGCATAGACTTCGTTTGACCTTTCACTAGTTTTGTATTTCTCATGATCTCTGGCTGTTCTTTAACCGCTCTTAGATCTCTCCTATTCCTTACGCTTAATTGCATCTTCATATAGCTTTTTAGTTATTTCGCTTGAGGATAGCTTTTGCTCGTTTTTACTTCTGTATGTGGTGATTTCTTCTGGGTTCTAGTTTTCATTGTGACTCATATCATTTGACAACCTCCTATGAGAGTACTTGACGTTATGAATGTCTTATTGGTGAAGTCTTTCATGAATAGGTTGGTCCTAACCGTTTCTGGATACAGAAATATCTAGTCTCGACCTTGATCTGCTCACACTTTTTCTGCATTCCTCTAGCTCCTTATCTTGGTATGCTCTTTTTAATTAGTCTAGCTTTTTATCTTTCAACTCTTAGTATCTTTACATATCCTACAAAAATTCTTCGTTATTTCTTCTAGTAGTGCTCTTTGGTCTTCCATTTAGAGATGATTGTATAGCATTTGGTTAGAAGGTACACTCGGAAGCATCTGGATCAATTTTCTATGCCGATAAATCTCTCTTTTTCTATTCATATATCTTACGGTCATTGTATAACTTAATGAATACACTCTTTACATTACTGGATTGAGGATTTCTTTTGTATTCCAAGTGATCAACATTCTCCTCCTAGATGAAAGTTAGGAAATCCTCATTCACACTTATTTCTTTATATATTGGTATTTCTTTTGTGTGAGATGATTTTTTATTTGAAGATTGCTGCTATTGCTTAGTTCTACTGCTAAAGCTATAAACTTTTTATTCCTATTAAGCAGCAAGAGAAAAGTTTTGATTATTAGAATTAATGTCATCTTTGTTGAATCTTGAACTATCAGTATTTTCCTTCAGATAATTTTTGAAGCTATCCTTATCAGGGGAGTTATGACCTTGACTATTTACCTTAACATGGAGATTTCTCAATTTTTCATGAACAGATGACTTTTACTATTACTGCTACTTTGATTGCTAAGAAGTGTTACTTCTGTAACTCTCCAAACTTTTTTAAGGGGACACTCTACCACTTCTTGATGTCTTTCGTTGGTTGCTATTATTAATAGCAAATTAATAACTAGTTTTTCTTGAGGACTTAGCTTGTCCCTAAGATTGAATTTTATTGCTCTGCATGCTTAGAATATCGCTATATGGATCATTTTGTATCTCTAACTCAATTTATTAAAATTGCGATTTTCTTACAGTTATTAAGCGATTCTTCATGGCCAAATGACATCTCTGCCTAATTATCAGCTGCTGTTCCAGTGCCATTAGACTAGTTTGATTTTCTGCTCTGATTAAAAATTTAACTGCTTCTATTTTGGTTATTGCTATTTTAGTTTCTAGGGTTCTTCTCATTCCTTAACGAATCATGACTTCTCTTTATTTAGTTCATGGGTTCTAAGGGAATAATTAAAGGATAGTAATGCATACATAGGACAACTTTTTGCAACTAATTTGGCTATTGATTTTTGTTGAGATGCTGATCAACGACAATCTCAAACGAGTTATTTAAACTTCCAGGGTTGGAGTTGAATTCTCTATCATCTTTTTTGACAGTCTAAAATCCCATTAGAATCAAGTGTATCTTACTTAGCCAGATAATGCCTTTCTTGAGTGTATATTTTACTCCTAGACTTTCTTCATTGATAAATTTTAATCTTTAATTAAAACAGATATAATCATCAAATAATTTATATTTTTTCTGTTAGAAATTTTCATGATTATTGCATTAAGGGGTTTTGGGGTTTTGGGGTTTTGGGGTTTTGGGGTTTTGGGG